CTAATGCTTTTGCTGATGTCTTGGCAAAACAAGGGATAAATAGGGAAACATTGTTCTGGGCACAATTGTAACTATTGTTTTAATTTCAACATTCATGTTTTCTCTGTTGTAGTTTGCGTATTTGCTGTTTGGAGAGGCTGCTCCTCGCGCCTCTAAGGGGATCTTCTTGTATCTATTCATTATTTTAATGGAATTGATGTTATTTATCAAAGAAAAAAAAAACTCTGTTTCTGAATCTCCTTTGTCATGTGATGCTGTACTTGAAATGGTTCTGTGGTTCTGTTACAGAATGTTTCTTTTATGCTGCTTAACCAGATTTCTTATCTTATTCCTGGTTATGATGTTACAGGTAGTTCATAGTTGGTGCATAGTGGTATGATGAAGAATGGGAAACATTGTGGTGCAGTGGGGGAAAACAGGAAGCATATTGTTGTTGTGGGTTATTAACAGTTTAAAACCGATACAGAAAAATGGTAATATTTAAGTGGTGATGATCAACTTAAGCTTCATTCTTAGCAATCACGCCTGCATGCGTTATTTTCATTAGGCTTTGTTCCTCCATGAAATGGACATAAAATTCTTTAGACTGGAATATTTCAGCTATTATTACCACCCCTTTTATAGCGAAAACTTATTTTCATTGTAAAAGTGGTGAAAACATAGCTCGTAAATTTCAACCTAAAAAATTTACTGCATTTTGTGTTGAAATAAATAGTCTAAGCTACGCTTCCATTACTTTATAATTTGTGTAGACAAGTAATAACTCTTTATCCCACAAGATCTGGAAAGAAATTTCACAAAAATGAATTTCTTTTAATAAAACATACTTTCTGAAAATCAAAAGCTTGTTTTTGTGAAATACACCAAAGTATAAAAGCCATTGTGATCATTTTTTGATGTACGGAGAGACAATGACAGTGGTGATGGCCAGAGGGATGATAGTGGAGCTTAATATATTTTTTTTGGAGTTTACCCACCCCAACCACTACTCCCATAAAGAAAAGGGCAAAAAAAAAATGAAAACATTTTAGATGGCCGGAGAGGCAATGGCAGTGATCTTCGTAAGTAGAAAGATCGATAATCTATCAAATTGATCTGCCCAAGAGATCTCTTTATATCTGATGATTCTTATCTTTTGGTGCTCAAATCGATAATTAAATTGGTGTCGCCTGTTGAAATGTTCCATATCCCTATTATCATTTGGGTAGAAGACTGGAAGTTATAATTCAAGGCGAGCCAAGCTTTGAAAAAATGATGCCTGATTAGAAGGTTAGTCATAGGGTTGGGTTGAGGTGTCAGGGTGGGTTTGGTCGTGCGAGTCAAGATGGGTTGGGTTTATATTCACCAAATTTCAAAAATACAATAGTTGAAGACTTGAAGTGACTCAAATTCAGGTCTCTTAGCGCATACATCTCCTTATAAATCGAAACCATCAGTGTCATATTTCATTTTGTGATTATAAATGAAATAAAATAGATTTTATTAACTTTCATGTTCAAATGCAATTTTACATGAAAATAATTTTATAAAGTAATTTTATGAAAAACACTTTTACAAAAGTACTTACATGAAAGCACTTTATAGAAGTATTTTTATAAAAATACTTTTACAAAAGTACTTTTATGAAAGCATAAAAGTACTTTTATGACCACATTTACGAAAATACTTTAGGGAAGTACTTTTATAAAAGTATAAAAGTACTTTTATGAAAGCATTTTTTTAAAAGTTATGCATTTTTTAATTTTCTGTAATTTTTGGTATTTTCTGCAATTCTTTGGTATTTTTTTTACTTTTTTTTGAAATTTTCTGGTATTTTTCTGCGTTTTCTACAATTTTTGGTTTTTTTCTACATAATTTCTGCATTTTTTATTTTTTCATGCATTTCCTGCAATTTTTATAAATTTCTGGTATTTTTTGTAATTTTCTACAAGTTTTTGGTATTTTTGCATTTTTTGTATTTCCGCATTTATCTACAATTTTTGCATTTTCAGGTATACGGGTTGACCTAAGCTGTTTTTTGTCATGTGACAGTCTTGAGAGATGATTTGTCAAAACATTTTTTTTTCGGGTATACGTGTCAACTCGACCCAATTCTTTCACGTGGAATCCTTGGGAGAGATTATTCTCTAAAAAATTGTTATTTTCAAGTATGTGGGTTGCCCCGACCCATTTCTGCCACATGACAATATTGAGGGATGTTCCTCTCACAAAGTTGTTATTTTCGGTATATGGGTCAACCTGACCCGTTTCTACCACGTGACAACTTTGAGAGAGATGTTTCTCTTAAAATTATTATTTCGGGTATACGGGCCATCCTGATCCAATTTTGTATTTATAAGTAAGGGTAGGTGGATCAGTATGGGTGAGCGTAGGTTAAGGGGTCAATATGCATGGATCAAATGGGTCAGGGTGAATTGATATTCAACCCTTACCAAATCCACCCATTTGGCACTCCTAATCATTTCCTCATGCTGTTAATCTCTCTTAGATGGATTCCATGTCTGGTGGATCTGGGTCCTGAATGGTGAATCCTGATCCTCACTATTGACTATCGTGTCTTGCTTTTGCAGTGCCGTTTGGGGGGATGGTTAAGTATGCGGTTATATAGTATAGTTCTATGACCCACTTTAGCCTCAGCGACAATCTACTTTTGGATGAAAATGGGTGCATGCATGGATGATTGCGAGTAAAATTTAAACCTCCATTGGAGGAATCATAAGTAGCCGTGGTTATTGGCTTAATGCCAAACGGCTGCTTATGTGAAAGCCAAACGAACCTGTTTCGAGCTGTCTGTTAAACAGAAGCAAGTCACCCTCCGCATAGACTAACAACCCAGAAAGTGGAAGTAACTCAAAAAACGATCTTTATCCATTTGATCATAAAACATCTTCTTGACGATCCCCATTTAAGTTGTATTGCAGTAAGGCTGTAATTTGGGCAGGGTTGGTTCGAAGGTTGGATTGATGTTCGGGTTAAGGTTAGGGTTCAAATTTATGAATCTAACTTTTATATATATATATATATATATATATATATATTTGGCCATAACATATCTATTATAAGTCATAATTCATAATAAATTATAGTCATTTCGAATACTTTTTTTTTCTGAATTTTGTACTTAAAGATCCAATAAAAACATCAATAAGCAAATACTAATAAAACATAGGATTAATATATGTAATGAAAGTTGAGTTAAGATCTGAGATTAAGAAATTCTATGAGATTTTAAGGGATGTGAAGAAGGTTGAGTTGGACCCAATTCGAGTCCAGCCCAACCCAAAGTTTGTCTTCGGATTGCATTGGGTTGGGTTAGGATTGAAGGAATTTAGTTAGGTATAGGGTTGGATAGATCGGGTTAGGTTAGGGTTAGGGTTGGGAGTTAGAACTTAGGATTGGCCTCAACCCAACCTAACCTAACCCGACTTGCAGTCCTATATCGTAGTGGTCTCAACCATTCTAGACATTGAATTTCTTGTTGGAGTGATGATTAGGGGTGGACATGAGTCGAGATTTTCACGAGCCATTCGAGCTCGGCTCAAATCGAGCTTTAAGCCAAATTCGAGCTTCTTATTATATTCGTTTAATTATCGAGTCGAGCCCGAGCATTCTGAAATTCGGCTTGCCTAACAAGCTTATATCTTTTTAATAGATTTTATTGGTGATACTATTTTATAATCGTGGTCCCTTATACATGGTGGCAATTTTAGAAATGAAAAACCCTTACCTTATTCAACCTACCTAGACCACTCGATCTCAGACCTCACCACAACTCTCAGTCTCTCACTCTCGCAATCCAACTCTCCTCTGTGGCTCTATCAGTCTGTCCTCTCGATCTCTCAATCTCAGCCTCTCACTGCAGCTCTCAATTTCTCACTCTCGCAGAGTCACAGATCGCAGTCGAAACTCGTAGCCATAGGTCGCAGGCCACAGCCTCACATAGCCACATAGTGCTAATTTCTAATGCACACTCATAGTCAGTCATCCACTACGGATGTCGGAGGCATGACAAAGACGAGGATCAGAACTAAGAACTTATTCAAATTGTGAAAGAGGGACAGATCTTGGTTTGCTTTTTCTTCTTCGTCTTCTTCTCATTTTGTTCTGGGTTTGAGGTTTTTTTTAGTCTTTATAGTTATGTGACTTTTTATTGTCAATTTGTCATCTTTGTTTCATTTGCACACATGTGATGATGTGCAAATGCCCCTTCACCTATCAAGTTCTTGATCAATTGGCTCAGATAAGACAAAGCACAAAGTTCTTGAATCTGGAGCAAACCATGAATTCTATGTGTTTCAGAAAGCTCGAATTCGAATTCAAATAAGCTTGGTTCATTATTGAGCTCGAGTCGAATCAAGCTTGAATACAGCCATTTTAGAATCGAGACGAACTTAAGCTTCTATTTCTAATTTGAATCGAGCTCGAGCCCCGAGCCTTGCATTTTTCCACCGAACTGAGCTCGAATACTCAATTATTCGGCTCCGCTAGGCTCGTGTCCACCCCTGATGATACTGGGTGGCTGAAATTTTAGACAGCCAAAGTAGAATTCTTTCAAGTTGTTTTACACAAAGATGATCATACCATACCTTTTTCTGCATGTTTCACCAATGCACCCATTAAATGAATTTTGCACGTACCAGCACGCCATTCAAGTTTGATTTGAAATTAATTTGTTTATAATTGAGTCGGATATGGATTCACCCGAATCATTTCCATCAATTTCATCAAAACTCACACACATGACATCACATGACTTTTAAAAAATTTTTGGGGTTTTTTATTGGTCAATTCACCTCATAAATCTTAGCATTCTTGGCGTGCTGTTGTAGGCACCCAAAAATAAAACCTATACTCATAAAAGTTATATGCAGTAGTGCGAGTAAGGATCGTTACCACAGAGAGTATCTAACTTGAATTATGTGCTACGTGAATCAAAGATGGAGGGGG